GTAGATTAGAATTCTATTTACGGGCACTTGTTAGCCCGAAAACAGACTTTGTATTGTTATTTCTTTGTTGTTTTGCTTTGAGACTCTGTAGACTGTAGACTGTTGATTTGTTGGGCCCTGTTTTGGGGTCTTGATCTACGCACAGGTTGGAGATCCAGCCCAATCCCCCGCCCCTCGGGGGTGTTGTTTGTTGGAAAAAAAAAAAAAACTTAGCAACTACAGAGAACTAACCTAGCAACTAGAGAGAACTAATCTAGCAACTACTAACCTAGCAACTATAGAGAACTAACCTAGCAACTACAGATAACTAACCTAGCAACTACAGAGAACTAGCCTAGCAACTACAGAGAACTAACCTAGTTGGAAGATTAGTTGTCAACGGTCGACGCCAGAAGTCAACGTATTTCGCCGGAAGTCAACGGTCAACGCCAGAAGTCAACGGTCAATGCCGGAGTCAACGGATCAAAATAATATTTAAATAATTAAAATAATAAAAAGAAAAGAGTAAATCTTGGCCACACATGATGTACCAAATCTTGTGGCTAAAAATAAGTCTCACGTCATCACTTTAAATATGTGGATGCATTGGAACCAATCCCTATACACACATAACATATCCCCTCTATATATAATTTCAGAATGCACTGAGTCTACGTGGCAAACTCTCATGCTTCGGAATCCTATTTGGCAAAAATTCATGCTTTGGAGTTAGACTTTGATATAAATTAATAGTTGTATTAATTGTATTTTAATATCATTTTCTATTATAACCAATGAATTGTAAATATATTTTAAAAGTTGATAACTTTTGTATTTTTTATCGGTTTTACATATATAAGGTTTTACATATATAATATATCAAATTAATCTTCTTTTGATGAGCTTCGATTTGACATCTATATTGTATATAAAAAATAAATAAATTAATAATAATAAAATATTTATTAAAATTAATTAGAAAATAAAATTATTTTTGTCAAGAAAAAAAATCCTAATTAGTGTGTTGCATTTGAATTGATATTATTTTGTCCGTTTGTATTTTACTATTTATTTATAAATATATATAACACAAAACAGTAATATATATCCTTATAAACAAAATTTAAATTTATTTATCAAACTAAATTAATTTATATCACATAAAATTATAAATTATATTATAAAGTAATAGAAATTGATATGTATTCTTTTAAAAATGATATTTATTTCAAATATAATTGACATGCAGTCAATGTAATAAAAATAAATAATTATTTATATAAATTCAAAAATTACATATAAAGTTAAAAAATTGTGAAACACGACTGATACGACACTTGATGTATTAGACATCTAAATAAGTAAAAAACAATTATCTATTTTGCTTAATATTAAATAAATATATTCTACACTTATATACATATCAACATATTATTTTTATTTATTTAAGATATATATTGTTCTTATAATAGTTAATAATATCGATATTTTTATATGATATAAGTAAAAAATTTAACACGGGTTGATATTTTTATTTAATGTACGGGTGTTTAATTATTATGATTAAAAAAATATAATTTAACAATTTAATTAAAACCTAAAATAATATTTTATATAAAATTAAATTATTTTAGTTTTTAAAAAATAAAAAATTTAATATTTTTTTACAAAAACTTTCTAATTCAATAACCGTGTAGTACACGGGTATTGTTTCAATATTTTTTTACAAAAACTTTCTAATTCAAATACTCATATAGTACACATAGTACACAGGTATTGTAATAAAATTTTATAAACATTTGTGCAGCTGCACATCCTAAAAGACTTGTTATATACTTATATCACTAGTACAGTACCCGTGCGATGCACGGGGTTTATTATCTTCGTCCCTTTTAAAAAGCAAATTTCAGTTAAAATTCGAAGTACTTACTAAATGAAAGATCATGTCATTAATAATTAATGAATTAATAAATATAATTAAAATAGAATCTATATATTATTGAACATTTCTTTATATACAACGTTCATGGTTTGATTCTTTGACACGTCATTGTCGTCACAAATTAGGATTTTCAAACCATTTCTGTTTGTAATACGGGAGACAACAACATACAACTGACCATGACAAAATACTGGTTTCTTGAGAAATAAGCCCACATATAAATGATTGTCCATGACTCTTATTTATAGTCATGGCGTAAGAAACCATAATGAGAAACTGTCAACGCTGGAACTTGAAAGGAATTCTAACGTCAGAAGAAAATATAGCATTCTTGTAATCAACACTTTATCACCTGCGTGATCACCAATGAGTATCTTACACTCGAGAACGTGAGTGGAGAGCTTTGTTACAACCAATCGTGTCCTATTACACAGACCCATAGAGGAGATATAGTTACAAAATATCAAGTTAAATAAGATCAGATTTGCTTAAGAAATAAGATCATACTTATCAATCTTATTATTCAAACCCTTATCCGAGTAGTTACTTGTTTTCTAGATTTATTTTTGTAACAACTATTAGTAGTTTGGATAGTGTAGATTATATAAATTAATAAAATATTGGTATAAAATATAAATTCAAAATTGATTTACGTCAAGTTTTTAAGTTGAGTAGGATTTATTTTCCTAAATAGTGTTATTACAATCGACTTCAAAAAATATTTTTATCCATTTTTGTTAAAACAAAACAAAAGAAAAAAATGTGCAACGTGTTACATGTATCTTGGATTTTGTCGATTATTGAAGATTATGTGTCATATCAATGTGACATAATGTTTGCCAAAACTAATGAAGTTTGTTACTATTTAATTTGGTAAGACTTTTCGGATTGATTGAAAAATAATATTTTTATTTTGATATGTATCATTTATCAAATCTTGAAATTTTTTCTGCAATATTTAACTCCAAACAATCCTAAAAATTATGAAATTTGTTACCAAAAGAAATCTCAAAGATTATTGGCATTATATTGTGGGTAAATAACTATGAAGTGTGTTACCAAAAAAACCGATATTTTAAAAAATTTGTTATCAAAATCCGAGATTTGTTATCACAATCAGATGAAATTTATTAACAAATTCCAAGATTTGTTATCAAAATAAGATCAAATTTGTTACCAAAATCCGAGATATGTTATAAAAATTCGATCAAATTTGTTACCAAAATCCATTAAATTGTTTGACATGTGGGGCCCATTGATATTGCTTATATTAGTAAGTCAACAATTAATTTTTTATTTTGAAGATTATGTGTCATATCAATGTGACATAATGTTTACCAAAATTAATGGAGTTTGATACAATTTAATTTGGTAAAGTGTTTTGGATTGATTGATAAATAATATTTTTATTTTGATATGTATCATTTATCAAATCTCGAGATTCGTTTCTGCAATATTTAACTCCAAACAATCCGAAAAATTGTGAAATTTGTTACCAAAAGAAATCCCAAAGATTATCGGCAATATGTTGTGTGTAAATAACTATGAAGTGTGTTACCAAATAAAAAAAACCGATATTTTAAAAGATTTGTCATCAAAATCCGAGATTTGTTATCACAATCAAATCAAATTTGTTAACAAAATCCGAGTTTTGTTATTACAATCCGAGATTTGTTATCACAATCAGATCCAATTTGTTAACAAAATTCGAGATTTGTCATCAAAATAAGATCAAATTTGTTACCAAAATTCAAGATTTGTTATCAAACTCCGATCAAATTTGTTACCAAAATCCGATTAAATTGATTGACATGTGGGGCTCATTGATATTGCTTATATTAGTAAGTCAACGATTAATTTTTTAAGTCAAAGTTACTATTTTTTTATTTTTCCAACAACCTCTTTATATTACTATAGATTATAGATTTCAAATAATTTGCCGCCATTTTTAAAAAATATTTAAAAAAGTTACTAAGAAAAGTAAAATTGAAAATTTTTTGCGGGATTTTAATTACTATTCCATGTTAATACAAACATTTTTATATAGAAATAGATATAGATTCCAACTCAATATTATTAATATAATTAAACAATATCACTCAATTATTCTTACATATTACATCAACTTTAATTCACTATTCTTCACTCACATAGTTTTAACTAATTATTAGTTCACATTATCTCTCTCTTATTTTTACATCAAATCAATTTTAATTAATTATTTGAAATATTGTTTTAATGTAAACTCAAAATCTTACTGAAATCTAATCATACCACTTTTTTTAAAAAATTAATCATACTAAACCAAAACGGTACAAACAAAATCAAATTATTTTATATCCAAGCATCCTCAAAACCCGTAATGAAATAATACAAAGATCTTAATATAGTTTAGCGGAATAATAATAAAACCTCTATTATATTCTTTCAACTGTTTCACTAACATAATTAAAAAATGAAATCACCAAGATGCATCTGTTAAATTTTAAGAGGACCAAATTCTGCCATTGTACTAATAACATAATATATCATATACACATTAAACTGATTACATTAGCATTTACATTCTGGAACAGAATTTCACCATGCTAATGGGGTATACTGATGTGAGTAATCAAAGAAAGAAAAATCTCCACAACTTTATGCCAAATGCGAAATTCAAAGGTGTTAAATGCCAAAAATCATGAACCTATAGAGTGGTTGTTCTAATATGCCATCAATTTACAAAATCCTGCATACTCCAAAACAAACAGAAAGCAGATTTCACTGCATTCAAACTCTGATGGCTACACACACACACTTGCACCTCACTTCAAGGTAATACAGAAGCTGAAACAACCCAAGTTTTGATATCATCAATAGCAACATTCCCAATTATTTTCCAATTGCAAAAAGTTGGGACAACAAAACCCAGCATTACAAGTTACAACAACACAAGCATCAAAAAAGAAAAGAAAATAACATAAAGTACTACACTCCCCAAATAGAAACAACTTCGTCCTGCCCAAATAACCCTCTAAAGCAAGCTCTTCCTCTCAATTCACAAAATGCCCCATGACCAAAACTTCCCATTCTACAATTAGGCTGCAGAAGGGGCTGCTATAAACTTAATTCCAGTCGCATTAGCCTCATTCATGGCCGCCACAATCAATGGCTGCAAAACTCCCGGCTCGACAGCTCCCTCATTTTGAGCCACCGATTTCTTATAGTTCAAAGACTCATCATTGAAAATGTCTCGTTATGACCTACCATGTATGCCGTCAGCATCAGAACAAATGCCAGCTTCTTGGTACAAAATGGCTCCAACTTGAAATGCTCGAGAATCGAGGCTACCACATACTTCATCTGGACAAAAGCTATCTCCTGAACTCCAAGCCTGCCATGGCCGGTGGCGAGCTCTGCACGGCAGGCTTCAAAACGTGTAGAAGACTGGACTGCTGTGCCGGTTTCATATTGGTCTCAGCGTTTTGCTCCTCGCCTGTTGCAAGCCGCCGTCAAAAAAACTGAGCAGCTTTTTGGACGCCATCAATGGCAGCACTGGGAGAAAAGGAAAATGAAAAATGTGATTTTGTTTTAAAAGATAATGAAGAGTTATATAATTATATAGATGTTAAGATAAGTTGGAATATATCCAAAAAAATCTCAAAAATTGTTACCTAAAAAATTGGGATTTCTATGATTTCATAGTTGAGAAAATCAGGTGGTTTCCTAAATAATTGGAAAGAAAATCCGGCCAAATTGTTTATACTGGAATGATTCCAGTATTCTGTTTTTTGCCTTATTCTGTTTTGGAATGATTTAAAATAAAAAGAAAATCAATAAATAAATAATTTTTAGATTTTTTAATTGGTTTCCATAAATGGGAAGTCAATGGTGTTGTTGACCAGTTTTTTAAAAGTTTCCACAAATGATTTATTGACCTCTCTTTTTCAATATATATAGATTATATGTAATATACTATTCGACACGCATATTCTTTTCGTGTTGAAATGATTGTTCTCTACTTCTAACTTGCCCCACCTTATTCTCTCCTCTTTCCGGCCAAATTTCCGGTAAAAATTTCAGAGGCTCATAGAAGTCATGGCTGACATGGAGAGAAATTCTTGCCGCACGCAGATTGTTGCCGGCAACGGCGACTTCAATTCGCCCGGGTTGCGAGATTTCAACAATTCCGTCAAGGTCAGCGTGTGTGGCCTCTTGTATGCAGTTGTTGCAATTATGGGCCCACATAGTAGCGGTTTGTGTGCAATTTTCAATTTTTTTTCGGTGTTGTCTGACCTTTTGTTGAATAAACCGAGCAGCGTGTAATGTTGACTTGAGCTATGGTGATTTGTGAGGGTTTTGAAATCTTTGAATGTTGTTACGGTTTTAAAATTGGTTTATCATAAGTAATATGGGAATTCTGCCTGTCAAATCTGGGCTAACTTGATTGTTAAAAGTTGAGAAATATTTGTGCTTTGCATTTGTGCCATGGGCTGAGCTGTTGAAATGTTGATTCAGCATTAGCTACTGTGGAAGTTTTCTTTAACTAAAATATGTTGTGTGTATTGTTGCTACAACTTGGATCTCTAATTAGTCAGAATTGTTCAGTTTGTGCAGCTCGAAATCTCAAATGACTTTGAATAGTTGTTGTTATTGATTTTGATTCAGGTTATACGTTTATGTATTTTTTTTTTGAATGACAATCTTGAAATCCTGATTAATTGAAAGCTGTGAATTCCTTTTGTTCTTTTTAATCATTATAATATTTACTTGTTCTGATTGGCACAGGGAAAAGCACATTGTTGAATAATCTATTTTTTACGAACTTCAGGGAGATGGATGCTTTCAGGGGAAGGTTAAAATGCTTTTCTACAGTTTATGGTGTTATACTGTTATATGTAAAGATATTGCCGTCAACAATATTCTTCAGTGGGCATCATTTGTGAATATGCCAATCAGATACAAGGAACTTATTAAAAGTAATTGATTTCTGTTGTATGACTAGGAGCCAGACAACAAAGGGCATATGGATAGCCAAGGCCGTTGGCATTGAGCCATTCACAGTTGTCATGGACTCGAAGGGTACAGATGGTTGTGAAAGGGGCGAGGTACTTTTTCTCCTTTGTTATTTTATACATTATATTTTTTATAACCTTTTCAAATCGGGAACTCATATCTACATGTTGCGGTTTGTCGTTGTAGATTTTTTGCTTTATAGAGTTATAGTTTGAAAACATGGCAGTAATTTATGTTTGCTAGCAATTACAAGGTGCTTCGGATATACTAATACATTTAATTTCTAACAATAACCTGCTACTGTTTTTAATCATGACAAGGACGGAGGGTTTGGACAGGAAAAGCCCGCTGTGAGGTAACGAAAGCATGGTTCCATTAATTGTGATATATGCCTAAATTGGTTGTTTTCTAATAAAGTGAGAAATTGTTTGTTTGTCTGACTTTTTTTTTTTTTTTGGTTGGGTAAGTCTCTGAAGCTATTATCTACATTGGCAGCTGTATAGTTGGACCAAAAAATGGATAATATAGAAAGTTTTCTTTATCGTGGACTCATGGGCAACACAGAAATTATGCAATCTCACGCTATGGATGCTGTAGTTTCTGGCAGTACTCTTGTTTCTGGCAGTCTCATGAGAGTTTAGATTTGTAATAGGTCCCCCTAGAAAATACTTTGATCACACCGGTTGACTGCAAAGCCTTGTGGAAACAGTTTAAGGCCGAAACTGTGTACGCAATCACCCAAGCAAGTTCGGCGCAGGTGTAAATTACAATTGATTTTTTATTTATTTATTATTATTATAGTCTCATTTACTCATCATTTCCACTCTTAATATTCTTTGGATCGTTAATTTTTGGGTTGTGAATGAAAAATGTACTTACATGTTCACACCTGGACGTCTCGTGGATCGTGGCGCATGGGAGCTTGCATCGGAGCTTGCAGCACATGCAAGCAGTTTTTCCTTCTTGTGTTTCGCGTTATGTTGTCTAGCATTTTTCTTGATGTACTTTTTAGCTGAAAAAGTCGTACTCCACTTTAGTCGTCGATTATAGTGGCTATAGCGTTTAGCAAGGTAAAAGACTCTTTTGTCCTAGTCATGCAAAACACGAGCAACACCTATGTCTTTGTATGCTTTTCGATTAGGAATGAAAAACAGAACATAAAAATCTTCCCCAAAATATCGAGCTCAATTATGGAAAAATGTCTCTAGTAGACGTGTTCAAAGGTCGGGCTGTTTCACGACCCGGCCGGCCCGCCGTACATTTCAGCCCAGGAGTTGGATAAAATTTCATGTGATTTAGTAAACAGAATCGAAATTCCATCAGTGCTAAATTGTCGATCTAATTCGATCAAGAATGTACTTTCTATTATATATAGAATGGGATTTTTTTATAAATGGGAAATTCAAAATGCTCAAGGATGCAAATGAGGCAATGTCTAGGGCTGGCAAGCTTATATCTCCTCGATGGCTGCGTCGGATCTTTCCTGAGGTCCCGCCAAGCCGAACCTTCAAGCTCTCAACCCAACCCCCTACCTAGTACGTACATGACTAAGCCCTTACTCCACCACGAACAGCGGAGTAAGCTCTCGATCCTTTTGAGCTCTTTTCCTTCATTGCGCTTCGAAAAGTTTGTTTGGTCGAGACTCACAAGCCCTCCTCTCCCTATGGTCGAGATCTTTAAACCTTGCCTCGCCTTTTCTAGCCTCTCCTTCTCAGGAAAGCAAGGTGGAAGAGCTGAGGGGTCAGACTCGTTTACTACATAATAGAAAAAAGGGGGATAGGCGTCCGCTGAACCGATAGGCTTTGAAGATGTAATAAGGTTGACGAATAAATAAAAGTCTTGTTCTTGACGGCTTACTTTTGAAAGAATTTTGAACAACCTCTTTTGACCCAAATTTTTTCAATTATCTTTTCCCTTTTCGCCTTTGCCTTCGACAAAATTTCACTCCATTTTAAGTCGGAGAGTTCTTCATAAAGTATAGTGAAGTCCAAATTTTGAGCCATTTTATTGCACTGATTTAACTAGTGGGTTTGGCCCTGAACCTACGTGCTTATGACTTCGTTTCTCAGGAAATTCGCGCAGCGGAAGATCCGGAATTTGAGACTTTCTACACTAGGCGAGGGGCGGTTCATTCCAAATTAGGGGAAAAGAAACTTCCAAGTTCTGAAATGAATCAATGGAAAAACTCAGCTTATATACATAAAAATATGATCACTACCAGGTCATCCCACTACACACCATCAAGCAACTAGCCACTAAGCCACGGCTGATGCTGGTTTGGATGCTTACCGCTCCGTGGGCTTTTTCCACCGCGGTTGGCTCTTTGAGATCAACTGAAGAGGTTGTTAGCGCTCTCCCAACAAAGGGCGACACGCTTCCCGCTCCTTTATCTTTTCATTTTGCGACGCCGAGGTTGGCAGCTGTTAGGAGACAGAGGCAGCTAAAGCGGAGGGCTAAAGTGGTAAACAACTATGACCCGTCTTCCGATCAGGTCCGACCCGAAATCGGCCCGGCCCAACGAGTCAAAAAGGAGAAAAACACGACCCTAAACAGGCCCTTATTGGTTAAGGGTTCGGTTAAAAAACCAGTTAAACTAGGCTGGTTTGACCTTTGGCCATGTCTACTCTCGTTTACATGGTACCAGAGAAGCACGAAAGCTCTGATCATGGCGAGAAATGAAGGACGTGAAGCTCAGGGACATGAGATCGTTACCTCAAACTGCACACACGATAATGATCCACTCTCTCTACATGGCTCAGATCACCCGGGCATGGTGTTGGTCACAAATCAGCTCACAGGTACGAATTATTTGCATTGGAGTCGTGCAATGAGGCTTGCTTTGGATAAAACTCTGAAGATTATCAACAGTATCAAAAGGAGGAGTATATGATCATCTCTTGGCTAATCAATTCAATATCGAAGGAGATTGTTGAGGCATTCATCTATGTGAAGACCTCGAAACAACTTTGGGATGAATTAGCGTTATGGAGAAAGCAACGGACCTTTGAGGTATCAATTGCAAAATAAAATAGCCAATTTCACCCAAGATAATCTTAAGTTCACAACTTATATCACAAAATTGAAATGCTTATGGGATGAATATTACTGCGTGGTATCATTGCCTGTATGTGTGGATTGAGTGTATGTGTGAATCTTGTAAGGCTCATAATGAGAATGATATGGAGATCAAATTGATGCAGTTTTTGATGGGTTGAATGATGTATTTGAGCCGACTAAAAACCAGATTCTTCTTTTGGATCCTCTGCCAATTATAAACAAGGCTTATTCTATGATTTTGAAAGTTAAAAAACAAAAAATTCATGCACTGTGTAAGTTCAGATCCATTGGAGTCATCTTCTTTGTTGGTAAAAGGTGGAAATAGAAATGGAGGAAGGAAGGCCTAATTTCTATGGTAGAGGAGCTAGAAAAGAATGTTATGAGAGATGAAGTGGAAATAACAAACTTACAAAAGAGGAAAAGACAAAATTATTTTGTAGTACTGTGGTTTTAATGGTCATGACAGGCAAGGTTGCTTCAAATTGCATGGTTATCCGGATTGGTACAAGGATCTTAAACAGCAGGATCTTAAACAGCAAAGAACCAATTCAACAGTTAACATGGTGGATGGTGTTGGAAAATTGTGAATGAAAGTGAATGAAAGTTGCAACTGACATATTAATTTTGAAACCGAGTGTCTTCATTTCTAAAACTTGTAACTTGGTTTTATAAATGTTACATTTAACTCAACTTTATTATGTTTGATTTAAATGGTTTAGTTAATGAAGTGCCTTGTCATATGACTATATAAGACTTGTCTTCTTGTGAAGAAAGTGAGATACGAAACCAAGAAAACAAAAAGATTGTGAAAGTCCATTTCTCCCATTTTTCTTTTATAGTGTTTTGGTCTAGGCATAATTCCAGTTCGCTGAATTTGTTTCGGTCTTTCCGTTGTATCCTAGGAAACAGACACTCATACGGGGCGAATTTGTTTTAAGGACACTGTGTTTTCACAGGTCTCGGTATTATATTAAAAGCCATCTTATTTTTATTTTCCCGTTACAGTTCTCTACAATCTTAAAACAGATTCCCTTAAGGATGGCTGCTGAACAAAGTACTATTGGCGTTACAGTTCTCTACAGTGTTCCGGTGAATCAAGCTGATAAACCCGAAAAATTTAACGGCTTCAATTCCAAGCGTTGGCGCAAAAGATGCTGTTTTATCTCACTTCGTTGAACCTTGCGAGGTTCTTGACGGAAAATCCTCCAAAGTTGGGGGAAAATCCGAATATTCAAGCGATTAGTGCGCTTGAAGCATGGAATCACTCAGATTTCTTACATAGATTAGGCTCATTAGAGATCGTAAGAAGAGAATGTTGTGCTTATCCCAGTCTTCATACATAGATACTGTATTGGCCAGATTCAGCATGCAGGATTCCAAGAAAGGTATGTTACCCTTCAGACATGGAATACCTCTATCTAAGGAGATGTCTCCTAAGACATCTAAGGAGATAGAGGAGATGAAGACAGTTCCTTATGCTTCGGCAGTAGGAAGTCTCATGTATGCAATGCTATGCACTAGGCCGGATATTAGCTACGCCGTTGGCATGGTAGCTGGATATCAAAGTAAATCCAGGACGGGAACATTGGTACGGTGAAGCATATACTCAAGTACCTGAGAAGGACTAAGGAGTACATGTTAGTTTACCGTGCAGGCAGCTTGATACCTCTGGGTTACAGTGATTCCGATTTCCAGTCAGATAAGGATGAAAGTAAGTCAATCTCAGGTTATGTGTTTACCTTGGGAAGTGGAGCCATTTCATGGAGGAGTGCTAAGCAGAAATGCGTGGCAGACTCCACCATGGAATCCGAGTACATAGCAGCCTCAGAGGCAGCGAAAGAGGCAGTTTGGCTCAGGAACTTCTTAGTGGACTTAGAGGTTATACCGAGTTTGCCACGTGGTATCACCGTGTACTGTGATAACAATGGAGCAGTAGCAAACTCAAAAGAACCTTGAGCCCACAGGGCAAGCAAACACATAGAGCGCAAATACCATCTGATTCGAGATATCGTTGGTAGAGGAGACGTTGATGTTGCTATGATTGCATCAGAGGATGCATGGCGATAGGATCGACATAGGTCTTTTAGAATAACGGATTGATAGGACTATACTGAAAAAGCGAAAGCTTTAAGTATAAGTGGGAGATTGTTAGTGTTATATACTGAAAGCTTGGCTTTGCATGTTATTACACATTTACCCTTTATGAATGAGAATCATGTTAGATTAAACAAGTTCTACGTTCTGTTGTTCTGCACTTAGATAGGGTGGGTCGTCATCGGGCGAACCGAAGATCACTCTATCAGTTACTTGCGAACAAGGATAGTTGTTCACAACCTAGATGGACATGAACACCCCATCCGAACGGTTGTAGTGTCAACTGTACAGTTTGTCTTGACTGATTAGTTG